AAGCTATCCCCGCGGTAGCGCGGAGATTTCTACATCTGCTATTTCACTTCAAAACGCGCCCGGGGTTTTACCTTCTTATACTCGCTAAATGAATTTATCTATTCAATTTCCGCGGCTCCCCTTCTGCGCACTCTCCTTCTTATAAAGTAGAATGCCGAAATTTACTTTTCGCCCGGTAAATGAGGTGTCATCGATCACATCGGAGATTAACCTACGCCGCCGGCGACGGTTCGTTCTCCCGCGATTGCTATTATGTCGCGCGAGAATTGCGCGGGACAAAACGCGCGTTGTTCGATGCGCGGGAATACGATGCAAATAAATAAATCATACTTTCCGGGGACAAGATATTACAAGCGTAAGTCCCGTCTCGAGAATCTGCTATTCGGTTAGATTATCGTTTCGCCACAAGATTCAGTGCCCTCCCTCGAGCTTATTTCCATTTACATTCTCCGCTACCACTCGTGCGACCCTTCTTTTACGACTGGCCGAGTACCGTCATAACTGGTACTGCTTCAAACATCCTTTTACTTGGATATCCGGTGCTGAAAATTTTTTATTACATTCACGAGAAGGCAGTAAAACAGCGAACCCGGTGTACGTTCGTACGCGCTATGATATTTTCATGTAAGATGGCCGCTTGGTCCTAATAAGATACGGCAGTCGAAAATCTGCATTACGTGGCCGTATTTCACCGTACGATTTTTAATAATATACCATTTTAAATAATAACCATCGCTAACCGTCGCCTTAAAGAAGACCATTATTTCGATTGGCTTTTGAGCCTTCCACACTACATAAGGAGAAAAATTTGCGAAAGCGGGAGATAGCGGAGATGTTCTATATAAGGAAATCAAATGACGCCCTAAATTTACAAAGAGACACAGAGAACCTTAACGCGATATACGACGGCCTAATAAGGAGCACTTGACATCTTATTTTACGTTTGTCCTTCTTTTTATTTTCTAATTTTGACGTCACTTCTTGGTGTCTTATTTATTCGATTTCTAAAATCTTCTCTTTCCTTTAATTTTTTGTACTCTGACTACATTTTTAGTATTTGTTTTTATTTATTTATCTTTCGTGTTTACTTTTCGATGTAACGTAGCCCCTGACCGTAGTCCCATTGTGGCTGTGGTGTCGGATGGACGTGCCTTCAACAGTTTTCTCCGACCGATATCCAGAGACGGACGACATCTTTTTTAATTTTGAACTAATCTATGCAAATGTAGAGTTGTGATTTCGTCTCGGTGGCTGTACTGCCAATTGTTGAATCGAGTTACTCCAATATTTTGTAGACATTTCCTCGAAAAGGACCGCAATCCGGATGGTCGAAACGTCGGAATAAATTGTTAAATTAAACCACCGTAGCCAGTTTGACGTCGTTAAACAATTTTTCTTCCCGTTTAAAATAATAACCTTTCGCGAATAAATGAAAGTTTACCGCGTAATTGACGAGCTCGATATCGCGGCACCGTTTGTAAAAAGGACAACCGTAATGACGCGACAATCGGCGAGAGTCCTTTCAAAGCTGATAAGTAGCGCGGCACTTAATCACCAAAAGCTTTTACATTCGTGGACGCTCATTGAAGACACCAGTCATATTCGCATTGTTGGTTTGCGAGGACACCTTTGAGAAAATGAGTAAAGCGCGAAGTTGATTTTAACCCAGTTTGTAAATCCTATTAAAAAGTATAGCGCGGCGTCTCTCTGTAAAACTGAAACTTCTTAAATGTCCCGGCGAGGCTGATGGTATTCAGCGATCAAATTCAGTGACCCATTTTCATAATATGGACGGACAGTTTCAATATTTTTTAGGACAGATAGAAGGGGAGAAACGCCATGGCGGTTTAATATTATCTCGGCCAAGATTAAACTTGATTTCATAGATAAATGCTGCAGTGTCGGTATAATTAATTAACTAGAGTTATTGTGAAACAGCTTTGTGTAACATCAAGACCTCAAATGATATTTTTGGTTCTGCACGCGCGCACACACCATGGAAAGACATTACCAGGATATTATGAACGATATAGTGTGTAGAACATACAGCGCACGTTAATGTTTTCAATTAAACCGCGCGCAACCAAATCTACTAATTGTATAAATCAGCAGCTTGGCTTAATTATAAAATAACCGAAATTAATTCCGACGTGCTCGAAGCGACAAGTGTTACACATTAAAATTTTCTGCCGCGTGTAAAAAAAATCACTCAACACGGCTTTTTCTATACTGATGATTCAGCAAAAAGTTATACTTTACGCCAAACAACAGCAATTCGATCTGACGCATATATGAAATGTTGCAGAGCCCATTGTTAGCATGAAACAAGAGAACCTTCCAAAAGATCGATAGCAATTATAGTTTTCTAATTTTTTGCTTTTTTTGCACGTGCAGGTATTACATCACGTGAATTTTAGAAAACTCCAATTTACTCTCTAAAAGTCAATCAGTGCATGATCACTGAAAGCAATTATAAGTATAAAAATAATTCAGTGCTACACTTATGGTACACCTGTGAGTCAGCGAATATTCACTGTTTTCAGTGACAATCCACCGATTGACCTTTAGAGAGTAGGCAGTTTCGAAAAGATTCTGATAAAATGACGCTGGACGTCGGATCTAATTGTAAAGGAATTAATTCTTTTAGGAAGACGCGTGCAAGTTTTGAACATTTCCCATGCGCGATTGGCTGGCAATACGGCAATTTGTGCGCACTCGGTATTTTATACGACATTGCGACGATGCGTAGAATGTATGAGAGAAATTAGTCAGACGAGGCAGCGCTACCTCAGGAATTTCATATTCATCCCACATCTGCGAGACCAAATTGTATCGCGGTGTCCCGCGTAATCGCCCAAAATCGTTGGTGCTCGAATCGCATTTGGCAGTTACACGTGTATAACCAATTTTCCCAACGCAAAACGTTTTATCTTACATCGAGAATTGTGATACGTAGATAACGACGCGAGTTGGGGGGGGGGGAGAATAAAAACGTTGCGCCACATTAAACACGAGCGGTTGCGTCGAACAAATACAAAACGTCCGCGAGTTTCATGCTTCGCGCGCAAAATCATTCTTGTATTCGTTCCTAAAGTCGTGTATATGATTATGGGAATTGCAAAAATATTTGCATCGTCAAATTCCAAACTACGACAAGTATTTGTACAAAAACGCACGATGCGTGGAAACTTGCATTTTCGACTCGTTGAAATAAACTCGTGATGTAGACAAAGGCGTTGGAAATTTTTTAATGTCATCACATTTCCGTGAGAGTTTGTTAAAATTTCGCTATTTAGTGAAACGTCATTTCGGCACTAAGCACCAAACTGGTTCATATAGTGTAATCTTGTATCAATACAGTGAATAGTAATCAGCTCAAGGGCTTCATATTCCTCTGCATACAGAATACAACCTAATTATGACAAACATATCGCGTAATTTCGTCAAAATCATTAAAGCGCGAATAATATAACCGGAAACATGAAATCCTAATTTCATTTGATGTAGTATCATAGTATAACTAATTGTTTGTTGCTCGGGAGAGCAGGCAAACTTGCACAACTAAAAGCAGTTTCTACAAATAGAACAATCTGTCATTGTATGTGACATACCAGTTGTCACACAAAATTCGGTAACATATCTCAAAGAATAATTAAAGTCAAGAAATATATAAAATCAAGAAATAAATAAAAATTATATATATAATTAAAATCTAGCGGAGAATTAAATAAAAGGATTTTGAAAACACGTCGAAACGAGACTTTAATTCGTCAACGTAAATAGAATCTTCCTATTTGCAACTAATAGCGTGAGTCCACATCTTTCTAATAACATTTCCGTGTTTTACGCGACGAATAGAGACATTTTCTTGCGACTGCGGCAACAGCGTCTTACAGTAACAGCGCAGCGTCAGCACATAAAAAGATTAATTAAGAAATTATAAAGTTGTGTCTCAACTTTTTCTTCGTGCATCATCATACTTTAACGTAATTTATTATAAAGTAAATCTTATCCGAGGCCACCGTGTCTTTCTGTGATCTCGCAAAACAACGCCCGCGAGAATTTGGTCGAAGCTCGTTATCTCGTTATGCACTTGTTCCGCACAATCACGTATTCCGGGCAGAATTTCTTTGTTGATGCAGAAAGATTGAAGAAAAAGTTCTTGTTACATGCTTATCATCCAACACCAACGAAGAAATTGCAAGAGCGTACACTTGTGCGGCGCGTAAGATCTCTTTTTCTTTTGTCGACTCAATATTCATGATATTTAGAACCGATTTACGAGATAATTAGCCGACATTTAAAAGAACGTGGCACTCGGAGAACCAAGTTGAAATGCATTTCGCGTCGGAGTAAGTACGAGGGATGCTCTTGATACATGGAATAATGAGCGAGAGAGGTACGAAGCGGAACTAGTACGCATCCCGCTTATACTTCCCAGTTATCCTCGACGACTTGATTCCGCGCCGAGAAGCTATTGCATAGACGTCTCGAATTACTCCCCACGCGAGCCAACCAACTCTCTCTCTCTCGTCTACGAGAGCCGCATTCGTAGAGTAAGAGGCACGCACCACAAATCCGCGCTACGTGGAATACCAGCACTAGAGACCTAGTCGCGTTACTCTACGTGGAAACAAGGGAGAACAATCACCGCGTCCGACCGTCGCAACGACGACGACGGTGACGGCGGCGACGGCGGTACCGAAACTCGTTAAACTTCCCGCACACGCGGAACGGGGTAACAAAATTCCTACCGCACGGAGGGTGGCCGCGCAGTTCGCACGGGTAGATTCAATTAGCATCGCGGCGGAGTGAATTTAGCACTCGCGAGCGCAGGGGGAGCGAGACTCCGTCTCACGTAGGAGTACGCAGATGTACTCCGACAATCGAGACGCGTCGCCGGCCAAATCGTAGGATCGAGTCGCGGGGGGCGTTTGATCGACAGCGGACCGCGGCGATGCTGAGACCGCGCGGAAACCGATCCTTTCGCTTGCACTCACCGGATGCGACGGGGTTGTCGGTCCATGCACTCCCCGCGATCGTGGACAGCAGCACGGCGCCGGTCAACAGCCGGAGTCGGCCGCGCGCGGTTCCCGGGACACGTTGAACACGTCGCTCACTGATCATCGCGGTACCGGATGGACGAGAGGGTGCGCGACCGGCATCCCGACTGAGGGTTGTACCGAGAGCGTGTTTCTCTACCTCCCGCATCATCCCCTCTCGTTTCCCGCCACGCGCAGACGCCTCCGCTCGCTCGCTACTCGGGCTTCCGCCGCCGACTCTCGAGCCACCCCCCACCGAGCGCCGTCTTAATCCCACTCACTTATCTCTTATCAATAGGTGACGATTAATTATCCCTCTACCCTACGCGTCGCAGCCGCGTCGCTGCGCTTTCGAGGTCGGGACCTCGCAACCTGTGGCACGCTCGTCTCGGGGGTACCTTGGGATATGTCTTTTGGCATCAGCCCTGAGGACGGAAGATATGAACGCAAGAATAATATCACTTCGTCGACGCCGAGAGTCGCTTGGCCTCCGCTCGATTTATGGCCGGTCGCGATCGTAATATGTGTTCGGGGGAGGATTCGGGGGCTTCGGGAGCCGGCGATAAATAAAGTTTCGCGCGACTTGTAAAAGAATTTATTAAAACCGGTAATGCCGCGCGGTGCATACGCGCGCAAAATTTGGAAACAAGCGCGCAAGTACATACGTAACTGTACCCGGTACAATTTTGCGCCGGGGGAAGAGAATGAAAAACATAAATTGAGTTTAGTAGATGAGTCCGGGCTGTTGGAAATTGAGTTAAAATTACATGAGTAATTATCCCTCTATCCGCGGCACACTGTCGCGCCGAGTAACATTGTTCAACGAAATGAAGAGTAATTAACACATTTGTGTTAAAAATCTTGCGTTACTTACTTCACGAAAAACTTGACGGTTTCTTCTTAATCTGCTTAGGGGAGAGAAAAGCTCCCTTGGGGCCTGACACGATACAAGTTAACATAAGTTTCCAGCTCAAACGACTAGATATAACGACGATCTACGGGAGGCGGGGGGGGGGGGATTGCTTTAAAGTCTAGTAAAAGTAAAATTAATTTTATTCCGTCTCGAGACAAACGTACTAAAAGCTGAAAGCTACAATCTGCAATTAGGATCGGCTTTTCATTGATCCAAAACTTAAAGCTTCAAGATACAAAATAATTTTTTAACGCAATTAGCACTCTCCTATGGCGCTCGTTAGCTACGCCTTTATCTCAATAAACCTTTTAATCTGCATTCCGTTTCTCTTATACGATTGGACGTATAAAATAGCTGTGCAGCATGCCCGAATTTTCCTTCACGATAATCTCCACCGCGGAATAATGGCATTGTCGTAATCATAGTTATAGAACGTAAACTTGATGAGAATTTAGATTTAAAAATATATATATAATAACATTTGAGATACGTTTTATTTCCATCGATGCTAAAAGTATCGGCGAAAGTGAAAGATAAGCTTGATAAATGTTTTTTATCGTAATCAACGTTATTGTATATGTTTTAGCATATCGCGAACACGGATATATTAAAGGTACTTTATGTGATGGCAAATACATACATGATATTGCACGTGTAACTTTCATCTATTGACTGCAGATATTAGTTTGGCTGTTACGTAAGCGCAATTTGGAAGTTCATACATATTCAGTCAATCCATTCGCCTTTACGTGGAATAAACGATAAAGATAATTGATCATGTGAAATATCGATTAGCTATATCGGGAATAGTTTAATGGATTTTGCTAGAAAGCGTGATTAATAAACCTGCAAAGGAAATCTGATTTTCATTGACATATGATGGACGGAAGATATTTTTGGGTCGGCCCTTAATTGCTTATTCCATAAAACATAATTGCGATATAATGAATTGCGCGCCGAGCTTGATTGATGTTCGCGAGTATAAGTTGCGCGGACATTTGGGAGAAAATAACCGCGTTGGATTTTTCCTTTCAATCTCCCCCCCCCCCCCCGATATCTCTGTCGATATTGACATTATTTCAACTTTAATAGCTTCCGGCCAGTCACACATTACCCGTTTTGCTTGCGGTGTACGGCGCGCGATAAAACACGAGTTCTATTTTCACCTCAACATATCCGAAATGAAGTTGCGCGCTATACTTCTCGTTCGTAGTTCATGCAAGTTGCAACGCATATCATGTATGCAATCATTAAAATCAAGGATTACGGGATATTAACAATGATCCACGACTGAACGAATATGTCGTAAATATTTCACATAATGCGTACATGGTGAAACACGTATTACAATTGAATGTTATACAATAATCGCGATATCGCGGATGGTGGACCACTCAAAATTTCATCTATTCCAATAACACGTGTTTTACTCGTCCCCGTACGATAATGAATGTATTAATCATAGATTATATTTTGCGGCGATCCCGCGTCCCGCTCGACGTGCGCCGTGGCTGGGCGCGAGATAAACAGGCGTAAACGGCCTCGTAATCGTTGCTCCCGCGTTTAGACCCGGGCGAGGGAGATCTCACGCGAGGTGAATAATGCTCCCACGGAGGTGTGGATCGCAATATCGCGGCGTATGGAAGAACGCCGTGCACCAGATACGCGAGTTCTTGCGGCACTCGTGCTGGAAGGCGTGTCGGGAGACTCCGGGGCGCCAGAAGATGCACTGCCATTGTAGCCCCCAACTTCTGTGTGACGACGGTGGTCCTCCGTTGCCTTTCCACCACACCCCTCTCTCTCTCTCTCGCTTTCCTTCTCTCTCGTCCTTGCCTCCCGCTGCCGCCTTCTGTGCTCCTGTCGCGCGTCTGTCCTCACGTACGTGCAAACCCCTGCCGGCCGAATATTGTCTGCCAGCGGTATTTCAGCTGGCTCTCGTGTGTGCGGTCCGAGGAGTCCACTCCGTTTTCGGGCGAGCATCCGAGCGCAGTGTACCGCGGTAAGCTCTATATATGCGCAGTTCGCCACCGAGCGAGGCGTGTAAAGTGGGTGTAGGACCGAGATCCGAACGTAATTCTGACCTATAATTTTCGGGACAAGCCGTTTGAAACTTTCGAGACGCGCGCGGTATTTAATAAGCGTGGCGTATACTACGGATTAGGGGAATACATGTGAATTACGCGCAAGCCGAGCGGACTTGGCCTATAAAGAACGCGAAATCTCTATTGGGGTAGTTAGTGGCATGCCGCCAGAAGGGTTATTGCCAAGCGGCGAGCAAAGAAGGAAACGAGAAACTTTCATATCGCTAATAACTGTATCTCAATTTGCAGCTTATTGAGAGAAGAGAGAAATTTGATTGCCGGAAACTATTCCATCTCTAGCATTGAGTCGAGACCGGGGAGTTTCTAAAACACAATACAAAAATCACTAATGTAACGATGAGTTTTTGTATATATGTATATGGGGTGAATCATTTTCATTTGCCACCCCTAATGGCTTACTTGGTTTCAGTTTGAGAGCGGAATGTTTCAGACAGGGGTTGTTCGTATTAATTAGTAGAATGAGATGGTATAATAAACAATAGGCGGTTCCACTTAAAAAATTGACCTTCACGTGACCTTCAAGCAACCTTCAAGGTGAAATTAACTACGAACCACTTTTGCCTGAGACATTTTGTTCTCGAATTGCAGCCAGGTGGGTTATTACGGGTGGTGAATTAAAATGGCTCTCCCTGCATGATTAATTGGAGAAAGTGCCATTTTTTGCCATTCGTGGTAACCTAACAACCTAACAAACCGCAACATTTCTGTGCGAATTCTCTGTATCTTTCCAACTCAGACTACGCGCCGATTATCTGTCAATCTTGAAACGTTGCCTCTTGTTGGAACAGTAAATCCATGTAATACTTTAATTCGGTTTAAGTTTTTATGCTAATAAGCATTATACATATTTAAATCACCAAAGAAAGAATTTATTGCGAAAAATACCTCGGGATTCGAACGTAGACTCTGTAGTCCGTGACGGGTGTCTTTCTAAATTTCAAATGTCTGAATTTATACTAAATATACGCATATCTTATGAACTTGGCGTTAAATTGAAACGTAAGTGATATTAGTCGGCATTGAAAAATTACGATTGACAGCGATATCCTGTTCACGTTGTCCTTCTCCTTCTCTTGCCGCGTTCTGCGGATATATTTAATGTCGCGCCATGTTACCCACATGATTATTTCCATAACTTTCATAATCAGCGTGAGATTGTGGCCTGGTATCGAGACAAAGGGTCATGTAACGTCGTTCCCGTTTTCCCTCCGAAACATTTTGCCGGCACGCAGCCTCGTGTTGGCGAACAAGCGGGCTACGTAGCGACGTGGAACGGAAGACGGACCACTCCGGAAGCGACGGCACGGTTCGCCGATGTGTTCGGGAACATCAGTGACTTTGCGGGAGGCGCTCGCTTCACTGTCTGCCTATCCCATAAAGTTACATCTCGCAAATTGCGTTTGTCAACAACGGCTAATTGCCGCCGAGAATGTTACTCGACTATGAAGTGGCTCATAATTATGCTGATGCATCCCCGTGTGGAATCGAATTATCTCGCCGAGCGCCGCGAGCGGCAAAAAGGAGGAGCCTTACACCTTTTCGCCTTCGATGGGGCAACGGCGCCGCGCGTCTCGCGGAAACCGGCTGTATTTTTGCGGATCGTACTTCCGGGCGTGTCTGCGGAGAACGCAAACGGGATCGTGACTCACCATTCGCCGTCGGCCACGCCGAGTACGCGAGCGAACCGAGCACGCTGAACCCGTCTCGCTCGGGCGGGGGGCCGAAGATTATTATGAATAAATTTGCGCTTCCGCGCAGTCGGGTCTGAACAGCGTCTAAATTTCCGAAATTTGCGATTTTCCAAATAATATGTTAATAAGAATTTGAAATTCGCCCCGCGCTGAGAAGGCATAATCCTACGAGTCGTAACTTTGGTCCTTGGTACGCGTGCCGCCTACACTCTCGCTCGTAGTATCGTCGAGAGTAATTCGCCCCCTCAAGCCAAGTTCTTCATTAGGACGAGCTGCACGGTGACGTTATAGGAAGCATCTGCTTAACTTCCGCGATCTCTGTTTATAATCAGAAATGGTGCGGCATGTGTGTAACTCATCGTCAGACTGCTGGCTAGAAATTATTCGGTAACTTCCTAGCTTGTTTGCGCCGCTGGATGCATTTGGATTCGCGAGCTTCTTAAGAACGAGACGAGGGCACGC